TTTTGTCTTGATTCATACAGTAAATCTCAACAGCAATGTATGCTATTGTGTATATCAATACATCAGTAGATAGATAATTCAGGATATACAAACAGTAACTTCCATTAATGAATTTAAATGGCAGCTTTGCAGGAATAAACGTACAACACATTAATTTATTAAATGTATTTAGAAACATTTTCCTTTATTCAAATAAGGCTTTATTCATTCAGATTGGGTATGACTATCTTCTCCGACAATAATAAAATAGGTCTTGATTTGGAGAGTCTCATGTTCTTGTCGAGACTGGATGCGTGTTTGGAAACAGTTTGTTCTGGCTGTTATTTTATGTATTGTTTTGAGTAACAGAGCTGTCTGGAATCATCCGTTACACTGATGCTAAGTGTTATTCACTGTTTTGACTAGTAGGCTGACGTTAAGTTTCACCTTATATTCTCAGATGTGACAAATCTGGTTTATTTAACCTAGGTAAAGTACACATAAAAAATAGGAAAATGTGTTTAAGGAGACATACAAATATATTTTAGTATGTATTTAAAACTGCAATGATTGTTTTCTAAAATGTATTTGTAGTGGATACAAATGTCCCCCATTCATGAATGTTTATATGCAGGTTCTCAAAATTAATTTGACATGATGAGCAAAAATGTTCTTAAAACAGAAAACCACAGTCTGCATTAGTGACGCCATGTCTTATATGATACAATCAAAATTAGAAAAGAAGAGAAAAGAGAAATGTGCCATCATGAGAGTATTGGTCTCCAAGCATAACAACACTGGGACTAATATAATTGTCCATATCAGTGACTGAAATAACCATCCCAGATCAAAAGATGTCAAATTGAAAGAGACGTGAAAGCCCATTGGATTATATAACCGAAAGTATATATTAAATCCACTTAATATCGCCAGCAAGAAGTAAATGAATTTGAGATTTTTCATGAATTTGAGAAAATTATAAATCAAAGTCCATGTTTCAGTAAAAAAACAAAAAAAACATTCTATCTTCATGCAGGCTGCTGCTGCTTAACCTCAAGAGTATAATAAATGCAGCTACTGTTTATTTCTTGCTGCAGGTAAACTGCGGCCTACATGTTTAGGCTGAGTAGGATGGTTTACAAGGAAGTGTGTGAGATTTCAAGAACAACTTATACGGGAAAAAAATCCCTTGTGACACATTGAAAGCGATACAGAAAACTGCAACTGGGTCATAAAGCTACAAGCATACATATGCGTGAAAGAAATAACAAAATAACCTCTCACTTTCTCTTTCCTCTTCTCTCTTCCTCATTCTCATTCTCAGACTAAAGATCAGGTTCCTGAAGAGAACACCAGACCCTTAAACCCCCCACCACAACAAGGTACACTGGGGTAGCTGGTCTAATGTATCACCTGATTTATCAGTCCAGTAAATACCCTCTGTTGTGATACGCATGATTCAAGTGGGTGTATTACCAGAAAGAAACCACACTGCATTGATTTCGACTTCATTTTCATATTCTCCTTCAGCGGCTCAGCCCGGAAAACACAGAAAACCCATGACGACTCCAAAGACTCAGAAGGAGAAAAGGCCAAACAAGAAAAAGATCATCATTACTGTCCTGATAGTGGTGATCGTACTGGCCATTGTAGCTGTGGCTGCTTTCTTCAGTAAGTTCTAGGTCATTTTAACCCCATCAGGATTTCATTTGAATGCACATGATTATGATAATGATGGAGGCCGAGGCTAGTTGTCTTGCTTTCACTCCAGTGAATATTTCTCAGGGCAGGTTTATGTTTAAACTTAATCTAAAGACTTGGCTACTTGTAAGTTATTGGACATTTTCACTGATAAAATTAACTGAACAAACATGTAGTGTTGTCAGACTGTATGTCATTGAATGGCCTATTTATCACAATTTAAACAGTAAAACACTTGCAAAATTGATGTAACAGCAAAAATATAAAATCTATCACGCATAAATACTGAATGGTAGACTTAAAATAACTTGTACACTTCATAACATTGAAAACGTAAAAGCTCCAGTATAAATGTATACAATTTAAAGCAGGAAAACTGTAATGCATAGTATAAATGTATAACATCACAATTTGTATTATTAAAACATGAATAATATTTAAAATATTCATGGCAATTTCAGTTAATACTTTGTACAAATTTACATTATTTAAATTGTGAAAACTGTAGTACATCACATAATTTTATAACAATCTAAACATGAAAATGCCAATGAATTCATCATACAACTTGTATAAATTTAAAACATCTAAAAACTGCAATTTATTGTATAAATGTATGCAATTTTAAACATGGAAACTTTAATACATTGCAAAAAAAAAAAAAGAATAAGAATCAATAACATTAAAAACATTTGAAAACTGCAATTATTCGTAGGTAACGTAAATATTTAACATTCAAAGTAGTGAATGCATTTCATAAATACATTTTTAATTCATTTAATTTATTAAAACTGTATAACACTGTATAAACTGTAAAACTGTATTCATAGCATTTAAACCATGCAAAAATTGCAATGAATACATATTATACATTTATAAGATTTACAAACACGTGAAGGTATAATGAATATATTTTATAACATTTAACATTTTTACAAATTGCCCTTACCTGATAAAAATCAACTTGTATAAATTTAAAACATCTAAAAACTGCAATTTATTGTATAAATGTATGCAATTTTAAACATGGAAACTTTAATACATTGCAAAAAAAAAAAAAGAATAAGAATCAATAACATTAAAAACATTTGAAAACTGCAATTATTCGTAGGTAACATGTAAATATATAACATTCAAAGTAGTGAATGCATTTCATAAATACATTTTTAATTCATTTAATTTATTAAAACTGTATAACACTGTATAAACTGTAAAACTGTATTCATAGCATTTAAACCATGCAAAAATTGCAATGAATACATATTATACATTTATAAGATTTACAAACACGTGAAGGTATAATGAATATATTTTATAACATTTAACATTTTTACAAATTGCCCTTACCTGATAAAAATAATAATAATACAAAAAAAAAATCCATGTCCTGAGAACCTGAGATGCAGGCCTCCTTTAATGTTTGTTTTTTAATGTGGGTCGGGGAAATTGACCTGCTGTTTTCTGTTTATAACCTTTCACACATTCACTTTTTGCAATAACAATGAGTCACAAATTGACAAGTCTGAACTTCTCATTAGTTATTTAGTCATAAACAGACTGATTCATTTAACCTCATTGCTGATTGATTTAGTAACAAGTGCTGTTGCTACTCCTCTTCATGAAACAGTCAAGCAGTTGATCGAGAGCAAGTATTATTTTTGCTCCAAGTCGGTGAAGTTCATTCCGCTAGAGAAGGCCTGCGATGGGAAGGAGGACTGCAGTGGAGCGGAGGACGAGTCAGCCTGCGTCACAAAGTTTGGAGCCAACTCTACCTTCCCCCGTAAGACACACACCCACACCCACACCCATATACCTGCTGAAAGACATGTGTGCAGTCAGCACTGCTAGAACCTGTGTGTCCTGTTTCAGGATAAACAAGACAAATCCCCCAACCTCACCCACTTTCTTTCTGATATTTCCTGAATGTCAATATTTTAAAATACTATATATATATATAGAGATCTGAATTTTAAAACTGTTTTTTTTTTCTGTCTCTGTCTCCACAGTACGGCTGATCTCAACCCGTAATGTGCTGCAGATATTCAGGCCTGATGAGAATAAATGGAAAAGTGTATGTGCAGACAGTTTCACCCAACAACATGCTGAAACAGTATGCAAACAGCTGGGTCACTCAGAGTGAGTTTTGGCCCGCAAATCATAGTGTCATTGCACACTTAACAACATCCTGTTTCAACAGGAAATACGTCAATACTGAAAGTTTGCAAAACTTTAAAATTTAATTAGAATAACAAGCCTTGAATTACTGTTATTTTGGTTTAGATTTTATTAATAATGTGGGGAAGTCGTGGCCTAATGGTTAGAGAGTCGGACTCGTAACCCAAAGGTTGCGGGTTCGAGTCTCGTACCGTCAGGGATTGTAGGTGGGGGGAGTGAATGTACAGCGCTCTCTTCCACCTTCAATACCACGACTGAGGAGCCATTGAGCAAGGCACCGAACCCCCAACTGCTCCCCGGGCGCCGCAGCAAAAAAATGGCTGCCCACTGCTCCGGGTGTGTGTTCACGGTGTGTGTGTGTTCACTGCTGTGTGTGTGCACTTTGGATGGGATAAATGCAGAGCGCTAATTCCGAGTATGGGTCACCATACTTGGCCACATGTCACGTCACTAATATTTAGAAAAAAATTGCACTATTTTAGTAGATTTTATTTTTAAATGTTGTCTTCATTTTAATTTAAGTTAATGTTTTAGTAATTTTGTTGTTTATTTTTTATTGTCTATGTAGTTTTTATTAATTTTTATTTCAGTTTAAGTTTTAGTTATTTTAGTATGTCATGTTAAACTAAATAAAAATGAGAAATGCCTTTGCAACTAGCTGAAATAAAATAAGCTTTTTGATATTTTATTTCTGTTAAAGTTTATTTTATTTCACGTAACAAAAGTTTTCTTTGAGGCTCCAGTTTTAGTTAACTATAATAACCCTGTTTTGGATTAATTACTTCTGTAAATATTTTAGACTGCTAAATAAATCTAAGAATCCAGCTCATCATTTTATCTCAATTTCATTGTCTTGTATTTTTTCTGTTTTTAGTAAACCCACTTTCAGCACAGTTCAAGTGGGTGTTTTGCCATCTGATCTGAAGATGTCTTTCTGTATGGTGGGCTCATCTAAACCCCAGACCTTCCAGTTGACCGTATCAGATCTGTGAGTATATTTATACTCTCTACCTTTGTACATACAGCGGCCTTTTTAAATGATGAAACAATAAATATGTTGTTTACAAATTAGACAAAAGTTTTTGGCATTTTTCTGGTTGTCAAATGTTAAGTATGAATGAAGTTAATTTGCAAATAATTTTTGGGGTTGCTGTAGCCATTATTAGTTTTGTTTTTAAGCATTCTCACATTCTCTTATGTTTTCTCTCTCTTTCTCAGTAAGTTATGCAGTCAGGGAGCAGTTGTCACGTTAACATGCTCAGGTAACTATGGAGTCCTAATCCAACAGCCAATTAGGGCATTAGTCAATAATGAAACAAATGGATAATTACAACAAGCACAAAACTAGCAATACAACATCAAATGTGTTCACTGACACAGTCAGTCATCTGGACTGAGCAATTTAACATGCCAAAACATGTTTTAAAGAGAGAGAACAAGAAGAGAACTGCGGACATGTAGCTTCACATTTGGTTAAACTATTCCTTCAATGTTTTTGTGTGAAATACAGGTTGTGTTAGGGTTGACATATATTTATATATTTATGACATATATTTGTATTATCCAATTCTGTTAGAACATACAACGTTTATATCATATATTCTTTTCTTATGATGACAGACACATTTTGTGATTTATGTTTTGATTTACTTTTATTTTGTAGAAGAGTGTGGGTCATCCAGAAACCAGGACCGGATTGTAGGCGGACAGGACGCTGTCATTGAGAACTGGCCGTGGCAGGTCAGCCTGCAGAACAGCGGCCAGCACACCTGTGGAGGATCACTGGTGTCTCCAAACTGGGTGGTGACTGCGGCCCACTGCTTCAACGGGTGCGTATGTAAAACACTCATACAAAGCAAATGCATGTTTAACCTTCTAGCTCTCGCACACATTTAATTCCAACTGTGGTCCACAAATCTATTAATTGATTTAATTCAAAATATTTATATTTAAAAATACAAAAATACACATTAATGTAATTGTTACATTAATATATAATATATAAATAATAATAACAAACGACTAACTAACAAACTACTAACTGACTAACTACCGTAATAATGATAATAATAATAATAATAATAATTCATGTAATTATATATTTTAATACATAATATATTATTTAATTATGCAATTATAATATATTATAATTTCATAAAATATTTGAATATTAAAACAGTTAAGTAATATAAAATATTTTTGCATGTTGTATGGTAAATAGTTAATTAATATAAAAAAAATTTTAATTTTTTTATGCAGTTTATTCAATTTAATTTGGTACACTGAAACAATTGTAACCTAAAAACAGTAACATCTACGTTAACTAATTATATTAAAAGCCAGTATTAGGCAATATTGTTGAATCAACCTAAATACATTCATTTAACCACCAAAAGTACATCATATGGGTTAAAACAGATAGAAATAGCTCTAGGAATAACAGGTTGCCACGTTTTGCAGTGTATTTGCATTCATAGCTCATGAGCACCTTGCAGTTCCATTAAAACCTGGTTCATCAACATTATACATCTATATAATTTGTTTAGCCTACATTCAGTAAGTTAACACAACCAATGATGTGCTGTTTTGAAGCCTGCAAACAGTCAAGAGTATCTGTTACATCTGGAAAACATGAGTCATGGAAGTAAACATGTTTTTATCATTAACTTTAAAGATTTGTTCATAAACACCATTCACCATTCAACAAGTTCACCCGGTTTGAAAACTATATGCTGTACGTGATTCATTATTCACCATACAAAAAAAGAAGAAATCAGTACTGGATTGTTCGCATCTTAACTGACGCATACATTTAAGCTTTGTAAATATACCTAATACAGGGTGTTTGTTGAAAGACTAATGCTTTTAAGGTCACATTGCTCTTCTTTTCTTCAGGGAGGGTAGGAAGGCTCTGATCAGATGGAAGGTGGTCTCTGGAAACACGTATCTGGGCTCTGCTGGAGCTTCTTCTGTGGACAAGGTCATTGTCCACAGAGAATACAGTTCAGGACGCAATGACTACGACATTGCCATGATACGACTCCAGTCTCCCATCACTGTGGGAGGTACATCAGCACACTCAACACTCACTGTTTGACACCAAAAAAAAAAAAATCAAGATGTCTAAATATGTTCCGAGTCAAAACCCGGAAAGTTTGAGTTACTTTATTTTAAACTCGACACAGCAGCATTCCATTTAAACCTGACCACAAAAATGCATTCTTATCAGTCTTTTCGGAAGTGCTGAAGACATGTACAGTACATAAGAGACGGCTTTTATTATTATTATTATTATTGTTATTATTATTATTATTATTATTATTATTATTATTATTATTATTATTATTATTATGATAGTAGTAGTAGTATTATTACAACAACAACAACAA